GCAATCGATTACCATCAACGTCATCTAGAAATTGCTAAAGAAGTGGGAGACAAGGCCGGAGAGGGAAAGAGTTATGGCAATCTCGGCTGCGCTTATGATAGTCTAGGACAGTTCAAAACAGCAATCGATTACCATCAACGTCATCTAGAAATTGCTAAAGAAGTGGGAGACAAGGCCGGAGAGGGAAAGAGTTATGCCAATCTCGGCTGCGCTTATGATAGTCTAGGACAGTTCAAAACAGCAATCGATTACCATCAACGTCATCTAGAAATTGCTAAAGAAGTGGGAGACAAGGCCGGAGAGGGAAAGAGTTATGCCAATCTCGGCTGCGCTTATGATGGTCTAGGACAGTTCAAAACAGCAATCGATTACCATCAACGTCATCTAGAAATTGCTAAAGAAGTGGGAGACAAGGCCGGAGAGGGAAAGAGTTATGGCAATCTCGGCTGCGCTTATCATAGTCTAGGACAGTTCAAAACAGCAATCGATTACCATCAACGTTCATCTAGAAATTGCTAAAGAAGTGGGAGACAAGGCCGGAGAGGGAAAGAGTTATGGCAATCTCGGCTGCGCTTATGATAGTCTAGGACAGTTCAAAAACAATCGATTACCATCAAATCGATTGGGAGACAACCGGAGAGGGAAAGAGTTATCAACGTGCGCTTATGATAGTCTAGGACAGTTCAAAACAGCAATCGATTACCATCAACGTCATCTAGAAATTGCTAAAGAAGTGGGAGACAAGGCCGGAGAGGGAAAGAGTTATGGCAATCTCGGCTGCGCTTATGATAGTCTAGGACAGTTCAAAACAGCAATCGATTACCATCAACGTCATCTAGAAATTGCTAAAGAAGTGGGAGACAAGGCCGGAGAGGGAAAGAGTTATGGCAATCTCGGCTGCGCTTATAAAAGTCTAGGACAGTTCAAAACAGCAATCGATTACCATCAACGTGATCTAGAAATTGCTAAAGAAGTGGGAGACAAGGCCGGAGAGGGAAAGAGTTATGGCAATCTCGGCTGCGCTTATGGTAGTCTAGGACAGTTCAAAACAGCAATCGATTACCATCAACGTCATCTAGAAATTGCTAAAGAAGTGGGAGACAAGGCCGGAGAGGGAAACAGTTATGGCAATCTCGGCTGCTCTTATGGTCGTCTGGGACAGTTCAGAACAGCAATCGATTACCATCAACGTCATCTAGAAATTGCGAAGGAAGTGGGAGACAAGGCCGGAGAGGCATCCTCACTCTGTTCTCTTGGAAGTTATTTTGAGTGCCAAGGAAATCTCAAGAGGGCTTCTGACTGCTTTCACTCTTCTGTAGAGGGGTTTGATAGTATCAGGGCCGGTCTGCGATTCAACGATCAGTGGAAGATTTCTTATCGTAATCAGCATAAAAGTGCATACACAGGCTTGTGGCGTATAAACCTAATTCAAAATGAATTTGTCAACGCTCTTCTTGCCGCAGAAAAAGGACGTGCTCAAGCTCTAAAAGATCTGCTAGAAGCAAAATATCAGCCCCGATATTCTTCAAGGAACAGCGTCTCGTTCCTTACCCTGAGTTTTGTTCCATTAGGTACGGTTTTCATAGCTATCAGTGGACCGTGCGTTTACTACTGGGTTTTCCTTAGCGACGATAATGTCCAGTTGAGAAAGGTACATGTCAACAATTATAAGTATCAAAAGGAACTGGAATTTTTCATCAAGCAACTGAGCAGAACTGCCTTGAAGGAGATCGATGCAAGAGATGCTGTTAAATGCGAAAATCCTTCCCATGACTCGCCGAGAGCGGAGGAAGCGGCGAATGATATGATTCAAATTGATGTAAGGAACTCACAATCAAGTGCTCTACAGAAGCTTTATGACATCATCGTTACTCCTATTGCTGATCTGATCGAAGGAAACGAGCTTACGGTTGTTCCTGAGGGACCATTTTGTCTTGTGCCTTATGCAGCATTGGAGGACTCGAAGTCAACTTATCTGAGTGATTTATTCAGAATCCGCGTGCTTCCGTCCCTGACGACCTTACAACTAATCAATGATTGCCCAGCTGAATTTCACCTGAAGAGCGGTGCATTGCTTGTTGGCGACCCATGTTTTGAAGAGATCATCTATCAAGGAAGACGGTTGGTACAACTTCCGGGAGCAAGGAAAGAGGCGGAGATGATTGGACGAATCCTCAGTATTTCCCCCCTCATTGGAGAAATGGCAACAAAAGATGAAGTGTTAAAACGACTCTCATCAGTGGCTTTAGTACACATAGCAGCACATGGTAAAATGGAAACTGGTGAAGTTATCCTGGCACCAAACACCACAAGAGAAACCCCTCAACCTCAAGAGAAGGACTATCTACTGACGATGAAAGATGTCATGGAGGCTGGGCTGCGGGCGCGACTGGTTGTTCTAAGCTGTTGTCACAGTGCTCGTGGGGAGGTCATGGCCGAGGGTGTGGTTGGCGTCGCCCGAGCATTCTTGGGTGCTGGCGCTAGAGCTGTTGTGGTAACCCTGTGGGCGATTGCAGACGAAGGAACCCTGGAGTTCATGAGTTTCTTCTACGATGCACTTGCTAAAGGCAAGAAGGCAAGTGAAGCTCTCAATCAGGCCATGAAGTGTTTGAGAAAATCCGAAACCTTCAAGGAGGTGAAGTACTGGGCACCATTTGTACTCATTGGTGATGACGTCACACTTGATTTCAACGACATCTAGTTGCTGATCCATGTAATTATTCTTTTCATAACATTTATGCATTGCAAAGTAACTTTAAATCCAAATTAGAGATACATATTTGATCATAAATGCTTTTTTTGTTATCTTGCTGTGTAAAGTTTGGGAGTTTCTTTTTTTCCCGAAGAAATTGAAATGCTTTTAAATTGAGTGGGCACAGACTTTTTCTTAGATAATTTGATAGGAGTGAAAAACAGTTTTCTGCTATAATAATTGTTGGGCAGTTTATCGTTTCATGTCGTAAGGCCGAATGAAAAATTTTAGATGATCTCAACGATTCTCCCTGAATTATAATTTTTTTTACTTTTCAGTTAAGGCAGTGAGAATTGGAGCTGTATCATAGAAAAGACAGAACCCAAGAAAGTAAAAAGTTGCCCGCAAGCGTTCATATTTGGAGCAGAAACCACAAGGCTACCTATAAAATCTCTGTAAGAGTCCTCTACTGAGAGCAGGAGAAGCGAAAGAGCCTTCAAGAGCCCATATGGATCTCTGTTTTTGCAAAAGTTGATTCTCCACGTCTTAAATGCTCTTATGAGCTATAAGGATTTTGGACACGCAGAAGAAAAAAGACTTTGCATTTTTTTATTTTTAATGAACTGTTCGAACTAGCTTAAAAGTAATTTTTTTAAATTAGTGATGTATTGAAATCATCATCACATTTTTTTATCTAAAATGAACGAGGTTGTTATCTGTAAACAAGTTTTAGGTGTTATATTTACGTTCAAGTTGAAACACCTTGAAAACGTATTCCCAAAATGTTTTTGCAATTTTTTTTTCTCAATCGGTTTTTGCCTTAAGGTTTATATAAAGTATTGCAGCCATATGCGTGTGTAAATATTTCCATAGACGTTGAAAAATAATTGGTCGTTTGGTCGTTTGATTGTTAAATTAGCTTAGTTACAGTCGAATGGAAATTTCAATTAACTTTTGGAGGAATTTTTTCTAGTTTTAATTAGTTTTTGTGTCACGAACATCAGATTTTTTCAATCGGTTTTTGCCTTAAGGTTTACATAAAGCTATTAAAGCCATATGTTTTTGTAAAGATTTCCATAGAACTTGAAAAATAATTGGTCGTTTGATTGTTCGATTATCTTAGTTTCAGTCGAATGGAAATTTTAATTAACTTTTGGAGGAATTAGACCTAGTTATAATTAGTTCGTGTCAAGAACATCAGATTTGTTGGAATTAAAATGGCACAATTTTTTAAGACCTGTATTTAATCCTAGTATTACCGATACTACGACAGATTTTTCCTACGCGTTTGAATGCTATAAAGTGTTCATGAACACTCTGTTTAAGCGAATTTTCCAATTGCAAACCGAGAGGCTGGTCGGACAAGCAGGTTCACCGATTTGGCTCAAATTTTGCATGTAGACTCGGCTAGGGGTTCTAACGCTAAATGGATATTTTAAGATTGAACGGTCATTAGGAGCCCCTCCAGGACACGGTTGTAAAGGCGCTGGTCAAGACGCTTGCAAAGGCGCTTGTTAAGGCACTTGACAACACCACACTTTAATGAATGCGCCAATTCTCATTACTTGTAGTAGGAAGTCTTCGGGTGTGATTGGTTCCTTTAAGAAAACTCATGGCAATCCAAACCCATGACTCAAAAAAGTCAACAGGAAGTCTATTTGAGGAGCACGTGGGAGAAATTCAAGTTTGAAATGCGGGGACATATTCTGTGCTAGAGATATGCCCAAAAACCGATAACTTTCTACCCACAAAATCAAAGAACACTTTTCTCGTCAATCAAAAACCGTCCTTTCCCGAAAATCTAAATAAAAAAATAAATAAATATGAAGCGTAATTAACATGAACAGAAAGTATTCTATGATTTTCTTACAGACAGTTTTATTTTCAAAAAGTTCTGACATCAGAAGATTTCCTTCACGCTATATGGTGTTCAAGATCTGATTACAATTCTGTTTTTCGCTCTATCTTCAACAGCTCAACCTCAAATACCAATGTAGCGCCCCCTGAAAAGATAAAATAATTGGCGTACATTCATTTTAAGTTGCGTTTTGAGGAAAAAAGTTCATGCCGGAATATGATTGAAGAAGCCCTTCATGTATCCCACAAGGAAAGAACCCCTTACACCTTAACTGGCCTAACATCAGTATGGGTATTTTCCACACTGTTCACTCTACATTTCCTAGGGTGTTAAAAGGAAAAATTTTGTGTAACAATCAAGAGCTTCTTTAGTTGGTGATTTCCTTTATTCTTGTGACCTTAATGTCTGACTCAGGGCTGATATTATTTAACAATTATTCACAAAAGTGGATGCAAATAATTGTTTTAGCAGGTACCGCACAGATACCAAACATTTAGTTTGTTTCTTTCAATATACCAAAAAATGGTCAGAAATTAAACTCTTGACGTGAAATTTTGTCATCGGCTGCTGGAAGGTGATTAGTACTTGCTATTCACTTCCAAATAGCCAATCAGTGCGTGTGAAAAGTACTATTCACCTGTGTGGTATATACTAAAGGGAGATATTAGCTGCTGGTAACTTCTAGGGGTCAAAGTGTTAAGGGATTTTTATTTGCCACTTTACAATTGCTCATAGACCACTTGGTTTGTTGCCCTGTGTTTTGCATTGTCATGGTTACTTCAAATTTCTCTGGTGACCTTAGGTTAAATACATAGTTTAAGAGTGTACTGAGACAATATGAATTATGAGCAATTAATACTTCAAAATAATTCCTTAAATAAGATAGTTGTAGTTTTGTGGTTTTTCCTTTTTTGTCAGATTATGTGCAAACTTGCAGGCTGTGAGGAGAGACTAGCAGAGTGTTGATGAACAAATCTGTGGGGGAAGTGGGTGGGGTGGCTTTGACGCCATGCTTCAAAATCAAATCTTTCCAGATTTCACAATTTCAGAGGTTGGTATCAATATCTTCGGTGTTCATGTAATGCTCTGACTCAGCATTGTCTCTGTTGACCACAAGCTGTTTACTCACCTGGGATCTTAGGGGGAGCTCCTCTGTCCCCATAACCTGCACAAAAGAAAGAAAATTCCTCTTAGTATAGCAAAAACAGCTGAAAATTATTTTAATAAGAATATGACTGGTAGAATTCTTGCATAATTCAGCTTGCTTGTATGTAACAGATAAATTATATCTACATAAGCTTGCATTTCAAGCAAGGTAAGTTGCCCCATTATCAATCCTACTAGTATCTACTGGCAACAATTCTTACTCACTGCATTGGACGTAAATTATATACTTAAATATCAGAGCAGGGACTTACCAAGGTCTGATGGGATTACAAGTTTCCTCTTTTCTCCTTCACACATACTAAAAACAACACGAAAAAAAAAAGTTTCAATCAACAATAACAACAAGAAGTTTATTTATACCTTGAGTAAGTAACAGCAAAATGTTAAAACAGAAAAGCTGGTAGCTGGACACCAAAAAGAACTAAAGTAACTATACCATATGTCAGTCAGCCTGTCCTCATCATACCCTAAGACACATATGATCATAACAAGAGAACGTCACTGTTGCCTATTCTTCCCTTTCCTCCTCAGCTCTTCCCAGCTGACCCTATTCTCTTGAATCTCTTTTTCATTGGCCATTGTTAGTTGCTGTACTAATCAAGTGCCCATTTAACAGTGTAAGATTATACTTTGTAGGCTAAAACAATACCAAATCAAATGACAACCCTTTGGCTTAACTCTACTGACTAGAAATATTTCATTTTTTTCATAGTTATTGAAATTTTTGCAATAACTGTATTTCAAGTTGTCAACAAATCAACTGATGCTTTTCAAGATTGCATGAAAAAAGGACTTCCAAAGAGGTTGGTTTTCATGCTTTGTAATTTAATGTCTATAAGTAATTGAACAGGTTAAACCACAAGGGTAAAAATAATTTTATGTTGCTGCTAGTTCCACATTTGCTGAATGGTTTGAAGCCAGTTTATTAGTAACTGTTCAGGTTCTCTTCAGCCTTAGCTATAAGTAGAGAGAGCAAAAAAATGTCAATTTTATAGACCCCCAATACATCTATACCTGCCATGTTGTGTGGACTATGCTTGACACTTCATGCTTGCACACTGAACATTGAATCACTAGCCAGAAATTCTCTTACACCAGACTACTAAATCCAGACCACTTATCCATAACTCATATGCACTAGCACTTTTACTACAAAATTCACCCCAGCTTTAACAAAATTAAGATAAGGAACAACAAGGTTCAAAAGCTTGCTTTTCACAGTTTACTTTTCTTGTATAGTTCAGTACAGTTCTGGAAAAGTTTGAGGAAGTAGTTTGAAAATGTAAGTAATGTGGAGAGAGGAATTTATTGTGTATAAATAAGACTTAAAAACAAATGATGAATGGTCTATAGTTGTAACTTACTTTAATAGTCCTTGATCCCATCCTGTAACAAAAATTAAATCATGACTTATTAAATAGTAAAAACACTTCTAATATAACCAAATATCTTACATTATTATTCAACTGCTCTCAGAGAGTACAAATAATGCACAAATTGAGTACAAATATCATGTGAAATTGCACAGCTGTTTGGACAGTTGGTTATTTTACAATGTAATCCAACAAGAACATTACAAGACCTGTCCCAAACCACTCCTCTATTTGCTTTGTTTTCCCTGCCTTATAACAAATGACTATAAAATAAAACAGTTGGGTAAAAAAAAAAAACATATGAGATGTTTGAGGAACTAAGTTAACTATAAACATTCTGAAACCTAAAGTTTATCAAACCATTAAACCCAATGCTTGTTAATAAATTAAAGTAATAGATCCCCATAAGCTTGTGATGTCCAAATGTTTCTTGCCTTCTCCCCACTTCCCACATGGGGCAATTAATTGGTAAACCAGTAGAAAGTGCAATCACTTGCTTAAATGCATAATATCATGGCAAACTACAAATATCAGCCCGTTTTGCACATAGTCATGCATGCTATATCACAAGTATCCACCTTTGATAACTTGTCCCACTCCTAATGTAAACACGAATGGTTCTCCTCGAGGGATACTGCTGTCAAATTGTGTCCCGTCCCTCAGAGTACCCTAAAAATCAAATAAATTTAAACACACAGAACAAATCAACACAACTCAAGTTTGAAGGAAACCTTTTCAAGTTGTTACCTTTCTCTTGCAGCTAATTCAAATTAACTAATTTTGGGTTATGAATGGAAAAAACTTTAAAAATTCTGTATCAGCTGATTGAGTTCAATTTCTTCATTATAATTGGTTTACAAGTCATGTTACCTGAGGAAACCATTTTCTCACAAGGAGTTGAGGAGGAAACATTGCATTAAATTATTTCCCTCGTCTTTGATAAATATCTTTAAATACCCTGTAAATGAACCATGCAAGCAGAAACAAGACCCTGTCTGTTATGCATGTTTGACAGAAGTCTATTCAACAAAAAAAGGAGTAAAAGTTCACAATATTAAGTGTGACACTGTTGAAAATTAAGTAAAAACATACTTATGTTAAATTAGTCTACAGTCACATTTATGAATTAAATAGTTTATATCATTTTTAAACCAGCCAAATATCAAACCAACATGAAAAAGTGAATTTCGGGCGCCTTCCTCACTGTCATACGATTAATTCATTTTACAAATCCGTTAAATTTTCTATCAAATTCATATTGCATGTCTTGTTTGTTTATTCTATTGTGCACCGCGTTCATGACATCGGTCTAAAAATTTTTGTACAACCGTAAAACAAATGCCCCAGAGAATTTTGTATTCAATCAGAAAATAAAGTTCGATATAAAAAGATGATCAATTCTGCCTGTCAATTTTTTTCCAATCTAACGTGTAAACATGATTGTTTACAGCTTAGTAATGCTCATCAAATTTTCCATTCTGTAAATTATCAAAGCTGATTACATTGGGGAATATTATTAAGAGAGGAATGATTTAACCCTAACAACAACATTTAAACCATTCTGTGGTCTTTAAAACCATGTTTACTCATGCTTATTTATTCCAAACTGCAGGAGAAAAATTGTGATTACATATTAATAATATACATGAAAAAATACGAGAAAGCTTATAATAATTATGCAGAAGCAAAGCATGTGCATCAAGTACAAAAATAATTCATTCAAAGCCTGCAAATGACATTGTACATTTGGTAAAAAACAACCACATACGATCAAAACAATAATACACAATGGTATTTTCCCATCTTTAAGGCGCAAAAAAATTCAAAGTCCGGCTAAACATTTCAAGGAATTGTTTGATGAGCAAGGCATTTTGCAATTAACCCTGTCTATATGCAAATTGGGTTCTGCATTGAATCACCTAAAAGCTGCATTTACCTTAACCAATCAGAACTAAGTAACTTTTCCACGTATCTTATTATTGCATGTAATGTAACAGTAATGCGTGAACCTTCCTTGGTTCCTAATGCGTGTCCACTGACCTACAACCATGCAAGATTTTAGGGAACTCCAAGGAGACAAAAGTAAGTTTTGAGTGGAATTTTTGACAGGATATTCTAAAAATTATTCTTTTGAGACACATTCAAACTGGCTCTTTCCCGTACTCATCGGATGGAAAATATTGGCTCTCAATCATGATGCACAGACTTCCCACTCAGTCATTAAGTAAATATTATGATCTGTCAAATATTTTTGCCATTCACAGCTGTTTACAGCCAATCAAATCAGAGAAATGACATATTCATGTGTGGAGAAAACATTTCGTCCAATCATGAAGAACCTGTCAGAAGTACTGGGTTTTCAATGAGAGAAACCCTATGTTTGTTTAAAAAATTTATCATCCCGCACAAGAACTTTGCGACCAAACTCAATGCTGACCACAAGCCTTCATGGTCTGTCTTATCTTAGTATGGAACTATTTAAAGATTCTGGTAGATGTTGGTTTAAGGCAAGTGCAATGGGGGTGAACAAAGCTGGACCGATGAGGGAAAATCAACTCATGAACCACAGCACAGAAAAGCCTTAAATAGTGCATATCCAAAGATTTACATACACACACTGACATATTTGAGTTTGAAGCATGTCAAAAGATATTATATAATTAATTGTCAGGTTGCTTTTCATTACTTGCAAACAGCTTATTTCTATCAAGCTTTGAAAAATTCTGGACCTATCTTCAATTAAAAAAAAAAGCATTTCCCATGACCGCTCATTTAAACATTTAAGTCATAAGCAACCAGCAACAGGTTTTTCCATATAGTGGAAAGATGAGTTTCACTGACAATACACACATCAATATGAGAAGGTCAGCCTCAAGCGCCACAGGTGCTCGTACACGATTTTTTGCTACATTTTGACAAAACAAATTTTAATCAAACATTATAATGAAATCCCTTTGATTTTGGATGTTTTAGTCGGTCACTGTGTGATCAGCGGAAGTTAATTTCTCCTTACACCATCAGTACCTTATCAAACAGACAATAATGAGAATCTTGGAAAAATATCAATTCGAGGATAATGTTGCCCACGGTATTTCAGAATGCTCCAACCTGAGATAGAACGGCGGAGATGGCTTAAATTGTTTGGAGAGACAGTCAAAGACGCTGGCTTAGTTCGCATTAACATCGGGTAGTTCTTATTAACTCCTCCGAAACTCCTGTCTATCTCTGGACCCGGTTGTGACTCTACGTCCATATCTATAGTGATATTAGCGTTATATTTCTCCGGTACTGCAAGCAAAACCATGGACGCCCCACAACACCACCGGCCGGCGAACTCTAAATTTAGGAGTAGTAAACTTGGATAAAATATGTTTGAAAAGCCAAGGACTTTCAGTCCTCCTATAGTGACAATTGTAGACACTGTTGAAAATTAAGTGAAACATACTGCTGTTAAATTAGTGAAGTCAATTTATGCCTGGTATATAGTTTATCTCACTGGGCCTTTTAAACCAGCCAAGAATCAAACCAACACGAAAAAGTGAATTTCCCTTCCTCACTGTCATACGATTAATTCATTTTTTGTATTCAAATTCAATTGCATGAGTTTGCTTCATATTCCTATTGTGCACGCTCATGACGTCAGCAAACAAATCCCTCAGAGAATTTTGTATTCAATCAGAAAATAAAGTTCATTTACACGCATGAATTCACCTGTCAGTTTTTTGACCAATCTAAGACATGATCGTTTACAGCGTAACAAAATGTTTTCTTGAAACAAAATTATCAACGTGCTGAAGCATAGCAGAGGGAATCTTAACCCTTTTACAACATTTAAACCATGTGTCTGTGGTCTTTGAAAAAAATTTACTCATGCTTATTTATTCCAAACTGCAGGAGAAAAATTGTGATTACATATTAATAATATACATGAAAAAATACGAGAAAGCTTATAATAATTATGCAGAAGCAAAGCATGCACATCAAGTGCAAAAATAATTTATTCAAAGCCTGCAAATGACATTGTACGTTTGGTAAAAACAACCACATACAATCAAAACAATAATATGCAATGGTATTTTCCCATCTTTAAGGCGCAAAAAAATTCAAAGTCCGGCTAAACATTTCAAGGAATTGTTTAGTCTGGTTTGTTACTTCTTTGCACCGAATTAACCCTCTTCTGCATTGAATCACCTATAGGCTGCATTTACCTTAACCAATCGCAACTGAGTAACTTTTTCATGTATCTTATTATTGCATGTAATGTAACAGTAATGTGTGAACCTTCCTTGGTTCCTAATGCGTGTCCACTGACCTACAACCATGCAAGATTTTAGGGGACTCCAAGGAGACAAAAGTAAGTTTTGAGTGGGATTTTTGAGAGGATATTCTAAAAATTATCCTTTTGAGACACATTCAAACTGGCTCTTTCCCGTACTCATCGGATGGAAAATATTGGCTCTCAATCATGATGCACGGACTTCCCACTCAGTCATTAAGTAAGTATTATGATCTGTCAAATATTTTTGCCATTCACAGCTGTTTACAGCCAATCAAATCAGAGAAATGACATTTTCACGTGTGGAGAAAACGTTTTGTCCAATCACAAAGAACCTGTCAGAAGTACTGGGTTTTCAATGAGAGAAACCCCGTATTTGTTTACAAAATTTATCATGAGAAAAGACCAAACTCAATGCTGACCACCAGGGCCCTTTCCTATCTTAGTATCAACTATTTAAAGGATTCTGGTAGATGTTGGTTTAAGGCAAGTGCAATGGGGGTGAACAAAGCTGGACTTGATGAGAGGTGACGGCTCATGAACCACAGCACAAGAAAGACACCACTTCAATAGTAGATACACACAACTGACATATTTGAGAGAAGCATGTCAAGCATTGAGGTATGATTGTCAGTTTGCTTTTCATTACTTGCAAACAGCTTATTTCTATCAGCTTTGAAAACTTCTCTATCTTCAATTAAAAAAGAAAAAAGCATTTCCCATGAACATTTAAACATTAAAGACATAAGCAACCAGCAACAGGTTTTTCCACTATATTGAGAGCAGGGAGAAATGAAACATAACATAACATTCTTTTTTTTGCTACATTTTGAACAATTTTAATCATTACAATATAATGAAATCCCCCATTTTAACCCTTTTAGTCTCACTGGTGATCTAGAGAGAATTTCTCCTTACACCATCAGTACATTATCAAACAGACAAGTAATGAGAATAAGGAAAAATATCAATTAGGGGATAATCGGTTGATCCAATTCCAAATCCTCCAACCTAACAGCACATAAATTGTTTGGCAGACAGTAAGGAGAATTACTGATGAGATCTTCAGAGTTAAAGGGTTATGTAATCATATGCACCAGAAAGGCAGCAAATAAATGTAACATACTCCAGTAAAGTGTTCTTATTTACAATGAAGTTTCAAACTCATTAAAGTTAAGTTGACTTCATGATTCAGATTTTAGTTTAAGAAATGTGTAATATCTCTTTACATGGGTTAAAAGAGAATGCCATTTATGAATTTTAAAATAGTAAATGCCAAAAACTTTAAGATGGATTTATTTATTATCTATTCAACGAGATTTTACTCATTAGCTGGCACACAAAGATATAAAAGACCCTTTGTAAAAAAAACACAGAGCAATAAAATTAAAGATTCAGGAGAAGCATATGACATCAACTAGTTTACTGATGTTCTCACCTGAATTCAGTCTGGAAGGAGAACTCTGCAACACTTCTGTTTTATCTTCTCACACTTGAATTAAAACATAAAATTTAATTATTTGCAGGCAGGTTAAGGAGGAAATTAAAGAAATGGATATATGTTACATAAAAAGAAATCCCTTAATATAAAAATAAGGCAGAAGTATACTACCTACGTGTCTTTGCTTCTGAATACAGCTTTAATAGGTATCTTTAAAAGGCAATCCCTTGCAAAATGGCTTTTGGAATTCCTAGGAATTCCTAGGAATAAAGGTGTGAATTTTCATGGTAAATTCGGACTGGGAATTCCTATTCCCAGGAATTCCTAGGAATAAAGATGTGAATTTTCACGGTAAATTTGGACTGGGAATTCTTAGGAATTCCTGGGAATTCCCAACCATAACAACTCTGGTTCTAAAAACCTAGAAATTCCTAGAAATTCCCAGAAATTCCCAGAAATTCCAAGTTTAAAGCCAACAGGACTTGGAATTCCTAGGAATTCCTAGGAATTGCAACTCAGAGAACCAATGACTTTCCCTGAAAAGCTGTAAATCTAAAAAATTCCCAGGAATTTCTGGGAATTTTTAGGAATGTTTTAAGAATTACTGGAAATTTTAAGCAAAAATTTGAGGCTAATGATATAAAATAAATACTTTAAATTAAAAAAACCCAGCTAGAGTTCAAGTATTCAATGAAATTTATTTAGAAGCTTAATTAAGGCTTTCATGTAAAATATTTTTGATTAATTATTAACATCAATGTGTGGTAATATTAGGATGGAATTTGATTTATTTTTCTTTTCTTGAAAACTTCATACGGATTAATCCTCAATTACAGCTATTCATATAAAATAGATCTAATCAATCATTAGATTTGGTTTGACACAAATTGTGAATAAAATCTGTTGATTCTTTTCCATAAAATACAATCTCTTAAGATATATTTGAAAACCAAGCACTCTTGGGAGTGAAGGGGCTAATTACAGACAAATAAAATTGATTTTTTGATTAAAATCTTGTTGTAACTGTAACAATAAATTAGAACGAAGTTATCCTAAACTGAAAACTTAGCTGCTGTTTGTACTGTTTGTATTTTTTTTCCTGGGCTCACAATGAGTTGGCCTTGAATGAGGTTGTCTACAAGAACCTTGACCATTTTGTATCTGGATTCCTTGACATCTGAATTTGAAAAAAAAATAATGTATTAAAATATGTATATTTAAAGCTCAGACCAGGCTTTTAAGATGGCTATGAGGAAAAGGGCATTCATTGGATTCTCAAATTGAGAAATCTCTGTTATATTGAGTGACTTTTATATTGGAGTTAGTACATCTCTCTCATGGATTTTACTAAAAAAGGGCTGAATACATTATTTTGTTTTTACCAAGGAGGGCTTCTTTATGTACTAAGGTTTGTTTAATAACAGTTCCTATTATGAATCTTGAATGTTCCCAAACGTGACTAAAGGAATCTTGAAACCTTACAGATAGGTTTATTTCATTGTAATTCACAAGCTTAAGAAACTGCGGCATGCAAGTGACCGATTCGATTCTCAGAATTATTCTAGTTTCAGTTGCGCCGAGCGTTATGTAAGCTTAATTCAACCCGCTACATCTATTCTTTTATAAGATTTTAATCACGTAACGAATATCGCAATTTTTACTCACCACAAACTTTCAAAATCGTAGCTTTACAGATGGCCACTCGGTCCTTGTTTGTACCAGTCAATATGTCAACTGTTGTCCCTTCTTTTAACTCCACGGCGCCAACGACTTTCCTTTCTTTTACAACACTCACGCTATTCTCGTTTTCCCACTGAACCACAATAAAAGCTATCTTTAGAAATGTTATATTAAGCAAAACAGTTGAGAAAAGCGATCAACCGATGAAAAGTACATTCAAAGATGAGCGCCAAATGGAGTCTTCTTTGTTTCCGATCACGGGCATGATCACGTGGATCTTTTAGGACTTGTCATTGGCTAGCAAAGTGAATCCGCTGACTTGCCGATTGCAGAGTTAAGAGAAGCGCACAACTTTATTCTGACTTCTCCAACCGGTTCTCTGCTTCTAGAAGATGGTACCTTGGTGATATAAATAATGATGTGAGCTCACTCTATGTAGAAATAATCGACAAGAATCGATCGTATTACAAATGCACGATTTGTGGCCGAAAGTTGTCGAGGAAACAAAGACTCGAAACTCACTTGATTTGTGTTAATGGCAAAGGTGAGAAATAACACAAGCCAATCACAGTTTTGAATGCGACTACAAATCGTCCTTTACCCTCATATTTATAAAAGAAGGATACCACATTCGGAAGTATAAGAGATACATAGATGATCCCAGTGTACCAGTACCTAAATCTACAAAGCTTGACCGTAGCAAGCGTTCAGCAACACGTTCCAACACCGCCATCTCGATTCCTCAGTCAGTCGTTTCCACTGAACTTAAAGCAGTATTGACAACAGAGTAGAGTGCGTCTTACAAAGGAGAAACATTTGTACAAGAGAAAGAAGTAGCTATATGCAATTACAGAGG